AGTGGTAAAGTCAGTGGTTGGCCTTAATAGTGGTCGACAGTGTGAAAGAACACAATCTATCTATTGAATGTTCTTTTTGTGTGCCGTCCATATGTGACATCGAACACTTCACCGCGCAATTTAATAAATGCCTCTGGGTTTTAAGCATCACTACATTATTATTTTCTTGAACAGAGCCCTATTCATTACACTTGGTAATGGCTGCTAAGTAGGCACTAAATTGATTGGATAGAAAGTATGCAAAAGTATCGATCGGCCGAGGCTCTCCTCTGTGATTTCCTGTGCTTGTTAAATCAAGTTTAATGGTCTTCACAGTGAGATTAGAATGTTCCACAAGTGAAATAATATTCTTTGTTTTAAAAAAAAGTATTTCTACAGTTTTAATCTATTTTTTTTAATTGTTTTTTCTTTTTGAGTAACTGTTCTATGTAATGGTGGTCTTGTGGGGGGGTACACTGTGGTACCACTGGTGGAGGTCTACTCCGGTTTGTACGTGTTTATGAGCCTGACAGACATGTGATAGGAAAGAGTCTGTATGTAGATGCTCAGTCTGTGTACGTTAATGGATGGTCGCTAAACCCTAATGTCTTAGAAAAAGAAATCATTGAGCTAAACTAAAAATAATGATTTTTTTTAAGTTCATTACAATTAGCTACACACCTAGCGTGTAACTATATTCCTGAATTAATGTAAACGTCATCATATAAAAACCTGACCAGGGTCTTGTAGACTTATTTATTATTTTAATTACTTTGTGTCGAGATCATCACTCCTTCATCAGCAGTAATACACAACAAAACTTGTCACTCGTTTCTCAACACCACGTCCACGTGGACATGGAACATTCTAGTACTCCATTATGGAACATAATTAAAGCATTTAATACGCAACAGAAACTGACATGAATGTAACGGCTATCACCGTGTCCATTTACGGCTCTGAGTAACTGTGGTTACAGTTGTCGGTAAATGACTTGCACAAATGAAGGGAGCTCATTTACATGCGTACACGTGATAATAGTCAGGAATGTAAACTGTGCATTAGAAATTGCCAGCCACTTCCCATGGTTCGTGATCCTCCTAATTAAGCATGCATGATGTTTCTCTCCCAGCTGCTCTGCTGCTGAAACACACCAGGCAGGTGTACCGAGCCCCCAGTGAGGCCCGGGGAAGAGGAGTGTGTAGGAACAAGTGCAGGTGTGACATGTTAGGAGGAGCCCAGGTGCTTATTGAGTTATCAGAGGCAGCCACTGCACGTTTGATTTATCACCTGGGGTTTAGCATTGCCATATCAGAGCCACTATATATCAGACAGCAAAATAAAACATCGTGAAAATTACCTGCTGCACGGCTGCGGTCGTGATAACTTACATCTGAGACGCCGGGCGGACAGAGTGTGGCACCCACTGACACTGCGTGTGAAAAATTGACAATGCTTATTGAACCCGTGCGGTGACAACACACACTAAATCAGGAATGCAAAACCTTTAGCCGAGGCAAAGAATCACCTTGAATTCACCCTTTAAGTGTCATGATTTGTCACTGATTTGTGGTTTATGGTTCGTTCGTCTGGACTTGAATCAGACGGTAAAGTTACGGCCCAACACATACGTTTATAGTTCACTTGATCATTTGGTAAACCTATTAATCCATAAGGAGTTTCTTCATATTCAGTTTGACCTGAATGTGGCGCTTACCTTTGCATTCTTAACAGCAGCCAGTCACCGTGTGCACATAAAAGGTAGAAGATTTATGGGCTGTTTTTTTTTATTTTTTTATCCCGGACTCAGGCAGCATCTAATAAACAAGCACACTTTGCTTGAGGCTAAATAATACTCTTTGAGGTCCTGATTTACAATGCTGTGAAGGATTCATTTGTGGTTCAGCTCTGAGGCCCGCACCTCTGTGATTGGTCAACCGTGAGCTTAAAAAAAATTTGGACTCCCATCTACAGCTCACGAGCTCTGGAATTTCTAAACAGACAAATGTATAAATGATGTTGGGGTTTTATTCAGAGTTAATAGATGAAGCCAAATGAAAATTTCAGAGATGTAAAAGGCTTTTAGACTTAACCAAATCCTCCCCTGTTCCCTCTGATTGAGGCTAAACCGGCGGCTCCTGCAGCCAATCTAGTGTTCTTTGCTTTTCATAAGAAAGCTCTTCAGAGTATTGGTCCGCTGCATGGACCTCTAACACATCTGATTAACGAGAAAATCCCTCACTGTTTCAGCTCCACTTTCTCTTTAAAAATGCACATGCACATTGTCAAGTGACCAAGTTGATTTACCAAAACTATTTTTAATATAGAAAAATGTTTTAGAAATCCTAGTAGTCCATCGTGTCTGCTCTTCAGTGACCTGTCATTCAAATCAGATCGTGCCACAGTTTACACACTAAATCTCTCTGCTTCGTGGACAATTACAACACAGTTGAGTTTTAAAACACATTTTTCACCACTGCTCAGGTTTTTTTGTTCTGAGTTTAATACAATTGTATTTTTTGTAATAATTAATTTTTACAGTCAGGTTCCCTAAAATACTTCATGTAATCATGTTGTAGATCTGTTACCACTGTGAGTAATACAATTACAGTGAAGACAATTCTACTGTTTATCCATATATGGATTCTGTTTTCCAATATATCCAATATGCTGGAGAAATGGTGGAAAAAGTCAAATTTAAATTCCTGGTCAAGTATTTCATCTTTAATTATTTTTTTTTTTTGTTTTAGAATATACAATTTCAACTTTTTTATTCACTGGTGAACAATAACTAGTCATTAGAATGACATGGTTATCCATCTCTGTGCTGCAGCTGTTGGACAGACAGAGTTATTTTACAGCTAGATGATGATAATAAGGTGTTTTGTTGTTGTTCTTTATTCAGGAGACAGCCTTGGTTTATAGCATCAGATCTATTATCTACCTCATGACTGGCACAGAAAAAAAAGCATTAGTTTTTTGTGGTTTTAATTCTGGTCTAACAAACCATTTAACCATCAACGATCAGACTGCTGTTTTTTGTAATAAACTTGTATTAAATTGTCAAAGGGCACAGACAGCCCCCGCCCCTTATATTTATATGTATCACTCTCCTCTCATGTTGCAGCCCATACATCAGATGTTGCATTTGCAGAGTTTAACTAACGCTGCACTTCTGCAGGACGTATTTA